GTGTTGAAGGTTGTGCGTTTGAGCTTTTGGAGGTGTAGAATAAATATGCTAATGCCTACTCAGGCATTTTGCTGTGTGAGTTAGAGACACATGATTTCAAGGTTTACTAATCCTTCTTCTTTCTCTAAATGCCCGGCCCGACTCACTGCGCAGCAGCTATAATTGTTTGTTTTTTTCAGTGGGAAAATGCCAGAGGTGGACTATGCTGTTCTCAGCGAGTGGTTTGATTGGATCACAACTAACATTTCCATTCCTGTTGATCTGATTGGTAAGATTACACAATACAAAGAAAAACAAACATATTTGATTAAGGTTTATACAATTTAAACTCATAGAAACATAGAGAATACAATTACATTACAATAAGAACATTGACTGGAAACTGAAATCTGTATTTTTTTTAAACGATGATAATCGCTATCCACCTGTATGGTAGAGTGTGGTGGTGTTTTCATACTTTGTTCTAAAAAATGTAGATCAGGTCTGTCTTGTTACGCCTGTCTGGTTGCACACATCACACACAGTTGTCTGTCAATGACTGCAGCATAAAAAACATGCCTTAAACTACAACATTAAACAATAATTTGATTTATTTTTAGACTGAAAGCATATATTGCCAAAATGTTTGTTCAGGAATCAGAAGCAGAGTCTGAGTTAAAGTTGGTTTATTCTACTGTGGATGTGATGGCAAATTGGCAACGTCTGCATGCCTACCCTGATTTTAAATGAAGAAATTATGAGTGCTTATAGGCATCATATCCTTTCTTGCAAGTCTTTTGCCACTGCAAATCATACAAAAGGTCATCTTCCACAGAAATTGCACAGAGCAAGTAATTTTCAGCCATCCCCCATATGTACTGTACCACACAATCAGCTCCCCCACATTCAGTCATGAAAACATGATATACTCCCTCTGTCTGATTTTGAATCTGTTAAACAATCACGTCGGGTTCAATTACTTTTCTTCTCTGGCTCCAGTCTACCTGCAGACATCTCCTCAGACCTGCCATGAGAGGTTAAAGCAGAGATGCAGGGAAGAGGAGAAAGTAATTCCATTGGTGAGGACACGCATTCAAACATATGGTTTCACTTCGCAGAAAAGAAACATTGTCAACTAACTTAAAGGGAAATCAGTGGGGTTTTTTTAGAGTGTGAAGATAAACATTTAGTGAATTGGTCACTATTTGTTTTGTGTTGTTTTTATTGTTAATTGATGAATTTACAGTTTTCTGCTGTGATATCCTCTGATAGCTCATCAAGGAAACAAATCCAGTGGATTTACTTCCCACTTTTCTGTAATCATCAGGAAAATATTGGGCATTCTGGTGAAAGGTGCGTTCCACTTTGACCAGAAAGTAATTGGAATCAACATTGGCATATAGCCAATGTGGAACTAATTTAAGTGAAACACATCCTAATACAGACGTTCTATTTTTTTATAATAGATGGGTTTCAGTTTTATAGCCTATTGTGACATGTAGCCTTTTGGAAAGGTGTTTGTTTATGTTAATGTTTGAAATGTTCCTGATGTTATAATAAAAAAATAGTTTACCGAAGTTGACAGTGCAAATACTACTTCAGTCTTAGGAGGACTGTGTCTGTAGGAATTGTCTTTGACACTTGCACTACAATTTATATATATCGGTTGTGTTGTTGGTCATTTTGTTTGTTGGTTGTTTTGTTTATATGGTAAGACAGATACCATACTATCGTTTAAATTTATAATTTATAAACCTGAGATTTGCACCTTGTTTTTGTTTGTTTGTTGCTTTTTATTTTTAATTATGTTTTTATACTATTGTACTGTGCTTATTGTTATGCACCAATCACCAAGTCAAACTCCTTGTATGTGCCAACATTAAACATAAATGCAATGAACCGATTCTGATCTGATTCGATTCACCAGGAGTATCTTGAGTCCATCCACCAGCTGTATGAGGACTGGCTCATCAAGCGTAACTCATCCCCTCTACCGGCTCCTGTCCTGGTGAGTGTCCATTCACATCCTGGCAGCTATTTGCTTTGGTTTGTGTAGATATTGAATGTACAGATTAAACTTTTATCACCAAGCTATAACCAAATGTGTTTCTACTTCATCCCTCTTGTTATGCAATATTATTGATATCCTGGTGTAATAGTGACCTTAAAATCATTTATTTTGTCTCCGCACCTGCTGGTCTGTAATTCTTTATTGTGTGTGTGTGTGTGTGTGTGTGTGTGTGTGTG